TCTTAGTATTTCTTAAAACAATAGCAAACACTAGGAGAAAGCCTGTAAACCTCAAACTGTTTAATGACCTTCAGCTATCCCACCAAGATCTCACCTGACACCAACGACATCGATATTCAGCTCTTTTGCCCGTTCCAAAAGGAGCCTGCTATTTCTGAGCGTGGCACCGAATTTAACACTGAGACGACAGACTGCTTTGGAATCATCAGTGGCAATCCGCAAAACCAACCTACAAGCAGCAAATGTCTCATGATAGATGTTCACTTACAGCCACGATTAAAATAAAAACAATCCTGTTCTAAACACTGTCGCTGATATATTCTGTAGTTTGAGTCCCAGGCTTCATGACTCAAGGAGGGTTTCAACTTTCTACTAAAGTACAGAAATATAATCATCAGAAAATTAAGTTTGTTTGATAAAAATCCACGTATCTTATGCCCCTGATCTGGCCCTCAGATGGGGGAATAACTCACTTTGCTTTTGGATGTGCTCTGGTAACTTTCATCAACTCAACTTCACTATCAAAAGTCATCATCTGGACTCCATTATTAGCAGCATACTTAATTTGAGATACTTGTTTACAAGGATTTGCATAGATAATCCTCTCTGGAGGCACCCCCAGACTCTGCACCAACTGTATTTCAGTCTGAAAAAGAAGAGTGGTGTCATGCTGTCCATATGTGGCTTAACAGGTGAAATAAACAGAAAAGCATAGGAAGTTGTGATGTGCCCCGCCCCACTCCCACCCACCTGCCTTTAGTGAGCATTTATTGCCCAAAAAACACAACTTGTATCTGCCCTGTGGGGAATACCAGGACCGTTTTATACAACTGCTTTTGAGTCCTGCTGCTATTGCTTACCTTGCTAGCACAGTCAAATCCTGTCCCGACAGCAGCAAGGGTCTTCACGATGGCTTTGCTATCATTACATTTGACTGCATAAAAGGGGGTGACACGAGGGAGAGCTTTTAACCACCTCAGATGTTTCTTTAGAATGTCTCCCAGGTCTGCCACATAGAAGGCATCCTTATCATCCTGAAACAAGAGTGGTCACAGGTGACTCACTAGCAGTCTCACCACACACCACACCAACAGCCAGCGACCTTCTTTCCCATCAGTCACAATGAATCCTGCTCTTTTGAGTCTAGCCACTGATATGAATATCACCATTATCACTATTAATTTACCACCAGTGAATTAATTTCTACATTCCGTAACAAGACACAGAAGCCTCACTGCTCTTCCTCAGACCTTGCCAAAGTTTTCCCCTTGCCTGGCATTCTCAGCTGCACTGCCAGCATGGGTCTCATATACTTACAGAAAAAGAAACTTCATTAATTTTTTGGTCCAGAATGTCCTTGGCAGTAAAACCTTCATCGAGGAAGTGGCAGTCAAATTCTTCATTACCAAAGTTGTTCATGATTTCTTGATGTTCCTCTGAAATGCAACAAAATGCAAATAGAGTGGAGAAATTCACTCAGAAGCCTTAGCAATACAATTCTAAAGATTAACCTGCAACCCAAATGTAAACTGAATACTTACATGGAAAACTAAGAGATGGAATTCAAAGAAATATTTCCAGCTTCTCACAAAGGCAACTCTCCAGGAATTCCAAATCCCTCTGCGTGTGCCCTTGGAGCAGCAGTGACAATCTGTGAAATAAAACAGGGAACTTGCTGTCTACCTTAGGAACACATCAAGTTGAAGATGGGGCACTGGCCGAGTGCACGCAGAGCTAATCATACCCCGGATATAAATCACTCACTAGCCTGGTGATCCCAATTATTACTAGGTATAAGGCACATGATTTCATAAACCTTCGCAGTATAAGGACACCACAAATTCAATACCAGGTTTTGCCAAGGCAGCACACTAAGCATTTCAAATATTTGTACCAAAAAAAAGTAGAACGCAAGTTTCAGAAGCTTATCTGCACTTAGCTCACTGATATGGAAAAAGTTTTATAATGGTCTCCTTTATTTCAGAGCAGTTTCAGTTCTTTAGAAACTTAAAATAGCACTATAGACTTTTTTTTTTTTTTTTGAGACGGAGTCTCACGCTGTCACCCAGGCTGGAATACAGTGGTGCAATCTTCGCTCACTGCAACCTTTGCCTCCCAGGTTGAAGCGATTCTCCTGCCTCAGCCTCCCGAGTAGCCAGGATTACAGGCGCCTGCCACCACGTCCCACAAATTTTTCTGTTTTTTAGTAGAGACAGGGTTTCACCACGTTGTCCAGGCTGGTCTTGAACTCCTAACCTCAGGTGATCCACCCACCTGGGTCTTCCAAAGTGATGAGATTACATTATAGCCTTTATATACAGCCATACAAACATCTTGCTATTTCCTACTTCCACTAAGTCTTAGAATGATTTTTACTGACCAACAGGCATCATGGAAATGTCTGGAGCATTTGAGATTTTACAAGTTAATTTTCAGGTATTAGCTGGGTATATACTTCTTAAAAACTGTAATCCTCAAGTCAACTTATCACATTGTATTACAGTTGCTGTTACCTAATTAGAATTCAGTTTTTTAAAAAGTTTTAAATTAAAAAAATTTTTTTTTGAGACGGAGTTTTGCTCTTGTTGCCCAGGCTGGAGTTCAATGGTGTGATCCCGGCTCACCTCAACCTCCGCCTCCCAGGTTCAAGCGATTCTCCTGCCTCAGTCTCCCGAGTAGGTAGGATTACCGGCATGCGCCACCACACCCAGGGCTCGGCTAATTTTGTATTTTTAGTAGAAACGGGGTTTCTCCATGTTAGTCAGGCTGGTCTCGAACTCCCGACCTCAGGTGATCTGCCTGCCTCAGCCTCCCAAAGTGTTGAGATGACAGGCGTGAGCCACCGCGCCCGGCTAGAACTCAGTATTCTGAAACCAGCGTTGCCTACCAAGTTTAGCAATTCCGGAATGCCAACTGTTCTTACAGGCACTCTCATATTTGCTTAGCTATGAGAATAATTTGGGGCTAACTTCACTAATAAGAAAAATAAGCAAGAACATCACGCTAGTAACAATAAAAGCCACTGTATTTTGATTTCATCAAATGTGACACACTGGTGAACCAGTTTTCTTAAAATTATTTATTTTAACCTTTAAAAATTTCTGCAGGTAGAGCTTTCTTCTTTTCCACTGTGCAACCCACTTCAGTGCCAGCAGCCTACAGGCACAGAGGCCAGGCAATGGTTCGGGGACACAGTTTGCTCTGGCATGGGGTACTATGACAGGCTCAGGGGGACGGGCCTGTCATAAATCCAAACCCATGCATGGAATTTGCTTTAAAGCTCTATCTATTGTGACTACTCGGCAGTGTCAACCTCGGAAGTTGCCTAAATCACCCCTCGGAGAAGGCAAGAGAGTAACAACGCTAGCAAAACCATTTTTGTTATAGAAATGGTTATATATTGTTTATATAAAGAATATTTACAATTTAATAATAAATAGGCTCACGCAGACACGGACGGGGTCATTTAAGGCCTTGTTACATATTTTTAAGGCAATGTTCAGGCCTAAACTTGGAAAGTTTCGATTTCTTTTTAATATGCCAACACTTTTTTGCTTTTTCTGTATCTTTTAAAGCGTTACTTAAGTAACTTACTTGAATATATTTTACTGAAGAGCACCTTTTGGTCTTTCTGTAACAGCTATTTAAAATGGCGAATCAATTAGCACAAGACGGTAATGTTAGAGAGCGGCTAATTCAAACAAACTTTCAAAAAATGCTCACAAATCAATTAAAGTCTGCCCAATTTTATGTTTAAACTAAGTCAGCCAACACATTCTTTGTCCTCCCCAGACATCCCTGAGAGGTTCTGCCTTCTACACTTTCACCAATTATTTCGGCTTCGCAAACAGCACAATCAGCCTTTTCTGAAAACCTTAGGGCTGGCTCCCCTGTGTACGTCCGTTCATCTGAGCCAAGCTTTTCCGAGATCACCGAGTCATTCAGAGTCCTTAAATAAACACCTCTAAGTCATGGCTGGCCGAGCAGCTAATATCACAGCTACTACGACAAGACTATCTTAGCTCTACCCACACTCGCGGGTTTCCAAATTGGTGTCATCTACTCTGTAGACACAGCGAAAATAAAAACTGGAAGGAAACTGAAGGCGCCAAGGCCGGGGCCCCGCTCGTCTGTACCGAGGCGAGTCCGGGCTCTGCGCCCCTGCACCTGCTGCGCGCCCGCCAGGGCCTCCTCAACGGCTCCCCGGCCCGCGCGCGGCCGCCGACGGGTTGGGAAAGGAGGACGGCGCGGAGACGCAGAGTCCCTGGGAGGGTCTCCGCCAGGCCCCTCCAGCCCCGAGCTGTGAAGACGGGGGCAGGACGCGGCGCCCGGGTCACCCCTATCCAGCCGCGGGAGATCCCCGGGCCGGGAGGAAGCGGCGCCCCAAGGTCGTGGCCCGCTCGGCGACCACGTGTCTCCGCAGGCGGGCGAGGCGCGCCGCACACGTGCCCGGGGCCCGCCGCCCGCCCCGGCTCCCGCCTCGCTCCCTCCCTTCCTCCGCAGCCGGGCGGTCCCTCACCTCAGAGCGCCCGGGCGCCGCGGGCCAGCCCCATGGGGAAATGCAGACGCCGGAGCCTGAGCCGCAGCCGCAGGAGCGCTCGGCCGCCCCCGCCGCGCCCGTCAGCGCCTGGCTCCCGCCCGCCGGAGACGCCGGCCCGAGGTGGCGCCGGAGCTGCTGGCACAGGGGCGGCGGGCGGCGGCGGCGGCGGCTACAGGAGGGACTGACAAAGCCCCACGGCGCGCAGCTCCCTACTTATAGCGCCGGCGGGTCGCCATGGAGACGCACCAGCTCAAACCAGCCACGATCGGTTCCTGCCGGGACGCCGCCGAGGGAGGGCGGGGCCGGCGGTGGCCAACCCAGGCCGCGCGAGCTGGTGAGGGCGCTGGCGGCCGAGCGTCAGCGGAGCCGAGGCACCGCCCGCCCCACCGCGGGCTCCCGCCGGCTCGTCGCCCCGCCCTCCCACCCTGCGGCGCCTCGCCCACGCCGGCCCTGCGCGGTCCGCCCGCCTGGAACTGGTCCGCGCACGCGCACGAACGCCGCAGGCCCCGGCCCGCGGCCGCTGAATGGCGGAGACTGTCCCTGCACAGCTGTGCTTCCACCTGGCCTTCAGTGCCTCGTGCCCGAGAGCGGAAAAGGGAAATCGCGAGCGGAGCACCGGTGTGCTGGCCACGTGGGCCCCGCCGGGCCGACTCGACCGTGCTGCCGCCCGCCGCTCCAGTGCAAGGGACCTGGACGAGATCTCGGTGCCGCTCCGCTCCCACCAGCGAGGGAGCAGAGGCGCGGGAGGGAAGGGGCGTCCCGGGGGTCGCCAGCACCCTGGGGGCAGGGCTGGCAGCCTCCCCCACGCCCCCACGCTGGAAGCCTCGTCTTTGTAACATCCGGTGTCCTGTAACTAGATGGGTCCTGTCCTGCGGAGGTGGTTTCCCCTGTGAAGCCAGAGATTCACCCAGGAGCGTGAGGGGAGCCGGGTCCTGAACCCCCAAGCCGCCCACTACCCTCTACTTTACCGGATGGAATTCATCAGTAACTAGGTATCTTTAAGGGCGGCTCCCTGGCGCGCTCTGACAGTTACGGAAGTCCCAAAATGCTTTGACCGAAAACGCCTAACAGTGAATACATAAGGCAAAAAGCAGCGTGGGAAATTCGAGTCCGTAGGAGCGCCCGGGGGATGCCTCTGGAGGTGGACTGCCACTCACCCCAGGCCACGCTGGAGTGCCCCCACCAGGCAGGCACTGGACTTGAATTGGGGATACTTTTTTTTTTTTTCATTTTTTCATTTTTTACCATTTTGGACAATCCAGACAGGTTATGTCTCTCCCTAGGGTGGGGATTTCGACTGACCGGAGTGTGGCCGATAAAGAGTTAAAGAGAGGAGAGGGTAGATCTAGATCTAGTCCTGGGTGGGTAGGGGTGGGGTTGCAGGAGCTCAGAGCACTGGCCCAGCCCTGCCCCCAACTTGCTGTGTTCTCTTGGACAAGTTACCTCCCTTCTCTGGGCCTCAGATAACCCAAGAATCCTTACATAGATATCTTTATAGCCACAAAGCCCTGTGAGGTTTTTGAAAAACTTCCTTGGCATCCAAAGCCAGGTCTGAGGCACAGTCAGTGAATACCTGTTTAATGAATGCATGCATAAATGAATGAATGGATGATCCAGCTCTTCCTGGAGCAGGCGCGACTTCCACAGAAACAAAAAGAGGGCAAACGCGAGCCGTAAGCAGAAGTGAGGCTTCTTCCTAATGTGAAGGGATGTGGGGGTGGTCCGCCCTATCTGTCCTTGAGCACCCGCCCGGACTAGAGGGGTGGGGGTGGCTCCACCCTTAACAAGCTTAATTCTTGATGAGATTAACCATCAGAACCCATGAGAGAACGTTATAGCTCCAGCGCTGAATGGGACATCTTTGATTCTGTGGTGATGCGGACTTTGTGCTTCTCTGTGAGGAAACACTTTGTTCCAACGACGCAATTTTCCTCACACTCCGGAAGTGTCCTGCACTGCCAGAATTGCCCAGCTTCCTGGCACACCTACCAACCAGTCATTCCCAACACTGCCCAATATGCAGCCTCCCGGCAGAGGGCCTGGATGTCTTGGCAGGTAGGGTTCCCCTAGCAGCCTGGGGTGGCCAGATAGAAACATTAACTGGAACTGGAGCACCGGTGTGCTGGCCACGTGGGCCCTGCCGGGCCAACTCCGGTCCCTGCTGCCGCCCACCGCTCCAGTGGAAGTGATCCCGGTGCCACTCTAGTTCCAGATCCAGGGAGCCAGGAGGGCTCCGACTGGTGCACACACAAGCCGCTCACACTGCTGTCGCCCACATACCTTCCTCTCCTGCTAGCCCACCCCAAAGCCCAAACTCCTGCCCACATGCTGGGAAGGTGAGGCCTTGCCTGGACAGCCCAGCAGGGAAAATAGAAGGAGGGAAGTAGTCCCGCTGCTTTCCCGGAGCTCTGCTCTGCGGCTGCAGGAAGACCCGCAGAGGCCCTGGGCAGCAGGACTGTGGACAGCAAGGCCTGAGTGGTGAAACCCAACCACTCAACTGGATTCCAGAAGCTCAGGTGGTGGTGACTAAACCTGGCCTTAATCAAAATGCATGACTTTATTGTCTTTCAATGTATTTTCAGTAAACTTCATCCTCTCCATTACTATTTCTTTTCTTTGGAAAAAAGCAATAGATCCTTGTAAAAATACGTGATGCCACGCACTTAGGAATCACTGTCATGTGGAGATGAGATTTCTTTTTTATTTTTATTTTTCTGAGAGTCTCACTCTGTCGCCCAGGCTGGAGTGCAGTGATCTCCGCTCACTGCAACCTCTGCCTACCGGGCTCAAGCGATTCTCATGCCTCAGCCTCCTGAGTAGCTGGGATTACAGGCACGTACCACCATGCCCAGCTAATTTTTGTATTTTTAGTAGAGATGGGGTTTCACCATGTTGGCTAGGCTGATCTCGAACTCCTAACCTCAAGTGATCTGCCCACCTCGGCCTCCTAAAGTGCTGGGATGACAGGCATGAGCCACCGCACCTGGCTGGAGATGAGACTTCTGTGTGTGGTGCTAAAAGAGTAAATAAAAACATCAGACACTACATTGGACATGCTACTAAGAGCTTAGTCATCTCACCTAAGTTCTCGGACCAACTCCCGTTTTCTTAGGATTCCTTGGGCCCCCTCACAACCCCCCGGCCCCGCCCCGCTCATTATGAAAGCTTGGACATGACTCCGCCTCTCTGAGTTCCAAGCTACCCTTCTGTAAATGGGAGGTTGGACTGGATGAAAGCTCAGGTTCTTCTTGCCTTCTAATGTTCTAAGAATCTGACTTATTTCATAGGGTTCTATATGAATCCACTGACCAAGTTTTCTGAACCAAAAACAAAAGCATGTCTGATGAAGGAGGTATCTTTTCCTCTTCTTTGCCAACTTACATGAAAAGGCTTATGAAGGTATACAGTGATTGCAGACTTAAGCAGTCACCCTTATCATTATTAATTTTTTTTGAGGAACAAGAGTCTTGCTGTGTTGCCCAGGCTGAGTGGCAGTGCATGATCTTGGCTCACTGCAACCTCCGCCTCCCAGGTTCAAGCAATTTCTGCCTCAGGCTCCTGAGTAGCTGGGAATCCAGATGCCCACCACCACATCCAGCTGATTTTTGTGTTTTTAGTAGAGATGGGGTTTCACCATGTTGGCCAGGCTGGTCTTGAACTCCTGACCTCAAGTGATCAGCCTGCCTTGGCCTCCCAAAGTGCTGGGATTACAGGCATGAGCCACCACGCCTGGCTTCACCTTATTGAAAAGGATTAGGTCACATAGAAGACAATAACCAGCAAGCGTTTGTGTATTCCACTTACTCAATATTGGGAAAGTTTGACATTGAGGCTTTCTGGAAAATGGGTTTGGGCTCTGCTTACAGTCCGTGGTTGTGCTCTACTTCACCAACTTCTTCCAGGAGCATAGAACAGTGGACTGTGGAGTGAGGCTCATGACCTCCAGTCCCATGAGGGCTTTGGGAGGTTAGCATCTGCCCTGGCAAGGATGCCATAACTCAGGATACCTGGTAATGGGGAGCAGTGACAGATGCTCTAGTCCCATCTGGATGCTTGGCCAAAAACAGTTTCCTTACTCAATCACTCAGCAGTCCTTTAACCTTGCCCTTTGAATGGTATTAGGTGTTTCCGAAAAACCCCAATCCACCCTCCAAGGTGGAAAGTGTTGCATCTCTGCCCATAAATCAAATGGCGTGCCTGAGGCATAGAAAGCAGCTTTCAGGGAGGGCCCTCCTTCCTCTGAGCAAATGGTGGCATCATCAGAGAAAGTGGAGCTCTCCAAAAGAATCTGCTGGAAGGCAGAGGACGCCCATGTGTAAGTGGAAGTCCCAGGATGTTTGTTTTATAAAGTGTTTACATCATAGCCCTACCTTGCCCCAGCCCCTGGTGTGGCTCACTGGGAAGCTGCTGGGACAGGAGCCAAATAGCAGGAAACTGGGCCAGGCCTTGGGAGCCCAGAAGTGCCCTGGAGCAGGGTAGTGGGCACACACAGTTGCAGAGAAGAGGGGGCCCTTGTCTGGAGGGCTGAGTTTGGAAGAGTTCTTTTTTATTTATTTATTTGAGACACAGTCTTACTGTGTCACCCAGGCTGGAGTGCAGTAGCGCGATCTCAGCTCACTGCAACCTCCGCCTCCTGGGTTCAAATGATTTCGTGCCTTCAGCCTCCTGAGTAGCTGGGGACTACAGCGTGTTGCACCACCACTCCTGGCTAATTTTTTGTTATTTTTAGTAGAGATGGTTTTGCCATGTTGGCCAGGCTGGTCTCAAATTCCTGACCTCAAATGATCCGCCCTCTTCAGTCTCCCAAAGTGTTGGGATTACAGGTGTGAGCTGTCGTGCCTGGCCTGGAAGAGTTCATTTTCATAGAGAAAGTGATGTCTATAATTATTTTGCTTCCCACGGCCTTGTCTTTTTCGGTGGGCAGAAGTCAGAGTCCTATTAAACCTGTACGGTGTCAGCATTCAGACATGCCATCTGACATGTGGACGGAAGCTTTGCCATCTGCCTACTTGGCTTGTCTGTTTCAAGCCCTTCACTGGTGGCCCTTGGTCTACAGAGTCAAGTCCAAACCCCTTAGCCTGGCACCCAGGGCCCTCTGAGGCCTGCCCTACCCTGCCCACCCTCCCAGCCTCTTCTGCCACTCTAGCTCCCTGAGCCACCGATGTTCCACGGACCCTGCTCCCACCAGCGTAACGTAGCTCACGTGATGTGGGCACCTTTGTTTCCTGCCTTCCCCTCCCCGCAACTCTCCCTTTGAAATCAGGACCATGATTTTCCTCTCCATATGTTCGGTTTCTAGCCCGAATCCTGGCACACAAAGTCATTCAATATTGTCAAGTTGAAACTGGGTTTCGTAGCACCTGTGGGCTATTGGGGAAAAAAGAAAGAGAGGCTGTGCTGAACCATTGTCCTTTGTGGTTGCTGTACGAGTGATTAGCTCAGGAGAATTGCTCCCCACGTGCTATCTAAAATTAGAGGAACAAAAGACCCTGGGTGTTCTGCCTTTGGTCAGGTGCTTGTTGATTCATTCCATAGGTGTCTGCTTCCTCCTGTGTGCAAGTGACAGGTGGGACAAGGGAGGACCCTCGATGGCTGGGCTGGGTTCCTGGGGACCAGCAGGGAATTGATAAGAGCCAAGAGAAGCCTCGCTTTTACCCAGTGCCTAAGGTAACTGCCTCTTTTGTTTTATTTTCTAAGTTCCTGGTGACTCCCTCTGACCCAACAGGCTGCAGCGCCTCTGCTGGGCTTTGCCACTGCCCCATTTTTGCTAGAGCCTCACCCTGGTGGGGCCCCACCTCTGGGAAGCCCCAGCGCCTGCAAGATTTTTTCCTCTCGTGACAGGGAGCAGCATGCAGAGGGCCCTTGCACAACCTGGGTCTTCTGGAAGGTGAGTGCTCTGCCCGGGGGCAGTGTGAGCTCTGCATCCCTGCCAAGTCAGAGGCGGGACCATCCAAAGGGCCTGTGGCTGGGGTCTGCCGCACCGAGCCTTGCAGGCCTTCCAAGGGGTGGGGTGCCCTGAGGGCAGTGCTCCCTGCCTCTGTTCCAACAGCTGTGAGCACTTGCTCTGTGCCAGCGCCCCTGCCAGGTGCCAGGGAGAAGGAGGGGAGGCCAAGGAGGTCCCTGTGCTCCAAGATCTCATGGTCCAGAGGGGAGGCTGCCCCAGGCTTGTGCTTTCTAGGTTCTGGTCCCCTGGGATAGTGGTCACACAGACAAAGGAGATGGACGCAACTGAGGGAGCAGGGGCCTGGGCTTGGAAAGGCTCATCCAGGGCTCGAGTTAGGGAGGGGCCTGCAGCACCCAGGGCAAGAATAAGACCTGTGGGCACCGAGGGAGGCTCCCGCCCATGAGCCCAGCTTTCCTCTGTGAGAGGACTGAGGGCTGTGAAGGGGAGAGCAGAGGAGGGGTCACTGGGGAGCAGCATCTCACCCCCAGGGGCTGCTACTTCATCCAGCTCTGGCCTCCATCAGTCCATCCAAATCCTGGCTGACAGCAGGGCCCCACCAACGTAGAGGGCAGGTCGGCCTCCACATATGGGCACAGAATGTTTTGCTTTGGCATTCCATGCCCTGTATGGCTCAGGGCCCAGGCAGGCAGTTCAGCAGAGGGAATTTAGCAAGGGAACTAGTTCCAGAGATGACATATCTTACAGCTGCAGGAAGCCACTATCACTCAGAGGACTGGGGACGAATGGGGATGAGGGTCCTCAGCAGCATGGCAGCCATCTGTGGGCTGTCCAGTGGAACTGGCACCACAGAGAGACCCACTGACCACCAAGGGGAAGCAGCTAGTGCTGGGGAGGCTGGGAAGCCAAGAGAGAGGGAGGGAGACAGAGAGAAGGGACAGGAGCCAGCTCTCCCCGCCGCCCATCCTCCCGGCTCCCACCAGCGCTTCCCAGTCGGAAGCCTGTTGGCAAGAGACCCTGGTCAGTGTAATTTGCCGAGGCCAGCCCGGTCCACTCCACCAGAGAAACAGCAGAGCCACAGTGGGAGTGGGAGTGGGGAATGGGTCTGAGAGAGGGCGGGAAAGGGCAGGCTCAGCCCCTTCCGGAAAGCCCGTCAGAGTCTTCCTCCTGCCTTCTTGTAGGACAGTTTCTAACCGGAGTTCTGGTAAGCACTGGTGACATTTCACATTGGCTTAAGCAATAAGGAAGAGCAATCATCTCATGTAGCAACATGGCTCGGGGAAGGGAGTCTCCAGTTTCATGTATTCGGAGCCTCAAGAACAACGTTGAAGACCTGGTTTCTTTTCCTGTTTTTGCAGTTCCATGCCCAGGTGTTGGCCCAGCTCTCCTCATGGTTCCAAGAAGGCTGCCCCAGGAAGGCTTGTGGACAGAGGGAGAAGCATCTCTTCCTCTAAGTCTCTTTTTATCTAAGAAACCAGTTTGACCAGCATCCTTCCCCTCGGCTCCCTGGGAGGAATGCATGGATCCCTTTGCCTTCCCCCATCCCTCCATGGTTGACTAAACCCACTAGGATCCACTCTTTCGTGTGGAAATGGGTTCAGGCCTCCCATGAACAGCATGAAGATGCCCTCTGTTATGGGTTACATTATGTCCCCTGCCCCCGAGACAGTATGTTGAGTCCTAACCGTAGTATTGCAGAATGTGAATTTATTAGGACATAGGGTCTTTATTGGAGGTCATTAAGTTAAATGAGGGCATTAGGGTGGGCTGGTGTCCTGATATAAAGGGGAAATTTGGGGCTGGTGTAGTGGCTTACACCTATAATCCCAGTGCTTTGGGAGACCAAGGCAGGAGGATTGCTTGAGGGCAGGAGTTCGAGATACTGGGGAGACCCAGTATCTATAAAAAAAAAAAAATCAAAAACAAAAAAATTAGTGTGTGGTGCATGCCTGTAGTCCCAGCTACTCAGGAGGCTGAGGTGGGAGGATCGCTTGAGTCCAGGAATCTGAGGCTGCAGTGAGCCATGAAAAGGTGGGGGACGATGGAGACCCACAGGGAAAACATCTTGTGAACACGGCAGAGGTAAGGGTGACACCTCTACACACTGAGGAACTTCAAAGGCGGCCAGCAAGCCACTGGGAGCTCGGGGAAGGCACAGTGAAGATGCTCATCTGCTCGCAGCTCTCAGAGGGAAGCCAGCCCCCCAAGCCCTTGATCTCAGACCTCTGCCCCCCGGAACTGTGAGATGATAGATTTCTGTTGTTTAAGCCCCAGTTTGTGGTGCTTTGTTACAGCAGCCCTAGGGAACCATCCACTATCAGAACAAAAGCAGGGCTGGACTGCTAGAAGAAAGGAGAGGAGAACTGCAGAGGATACCCGCCTTGGGGCTGAACCTGAGATCACTCCAGGGCTCCCTGGGTTGTTTTGAAGAATGGAGATGGATTTGTGCAGGGCTCACTGTAGAAGCTCAGTACAACATGTGACACTTATAAGGCTGCAATCCACAGAGCTCAGTCCCCAAGGAGCGCTGCATCCACAGACATTCCAAACAGAAATTCCCATTTCCCTTGGCTTCTTTCTCAAACACGGAAGGAGGGACTTCTCAGTGCATCATTAAAGAACCCTCTTCTTGGCCAGGCATGGTGGTTCATGCCTGTAATCCCAGCACTTTGGGAGGCCGAGGCAGGAGGGTTGCTTGAGGCCAGGAGTTCAAGACGAGTCTGGGCAACATAATCGAGATACTGCCTCTACAAAAAATTAAAACATTCTTTAATGTTGATCTGTGAGATTTTGGTGCACCCACCACCCGAACAGTATACACTGAATCCAATTTGTAGCTTTTATCCATCACCCCCTTCCCACCCTTTCCCCGAAGTCGACTGTGTCATTCTTATGCCTTTGCATCCTCATAGCTTAGCTCCCACATAAGAGTGAGAACATACAATGTTTGGCTTTCCATTCCTGAGTTACTTCACTTAGAATAATAGTCTCCAATTCCATCTAGGTTGCTGTGAATGTCATTAATTCATTCCTTTTTACGGCTGAGTAGTATTCCATCCTATATATATATATACCACAATTTCTTTATCCACTCATTGATTGATGGGCATTTGGGCTAGTTCCATATTTTTCCAACTGGAAATTGCGCTGCTATAAACATGTGTGTTCAAGTATCTTTTTTGTGTAATGATTTCTTTTCCTCTGAGTAGATACCTAGTCGCTGGATCAAATGGTAGGATCACACTTGTAGTTCTTTAAGGAACCTCCACAGTGTTTTCTGTAGTGGTTATAGTAGTTTACATTCCCACCAGCAGTGTAGAAATGTTCCCTGTTCACCATATCCACACCAACATCTTTTTTTTAAAATTTTTTGATTATGGCCGTTCTTGCAGGAGTATAGAAATAAAGAAAAAAGTGGATTTTGGCCTGGGTGGGTGAGGAAGAATACAGAATAACAGAAATAGAAAATGTCACATAACATCTAAACAAACAAACAAACAAAAACCCAGGAAGAAGAATAAAAGCTGAAATTAAAGGGATAGAAGAATAGATAAATCCAAAAGCTGGTTCTTTGGAAAGACCAGTAAAATAGATAAATCCCTTGAAAGCCTAATTAAGGGAAAAATAAGATAGCAAGAGTACAAAATAAGGGAAAGGCAAATAAATGGCAAACTAATAGAAGATAAATTCATATATATAGATATATATAAAGGGGAGTTTATTAAGTATTAACTTACACAATCACAAGGTCCCACAATAGGTTGTCTGCTGGCTAAGGAGCAAGGAGAGCCAGTTCAAGTCCCAAAACGGAACTTGGAGTCCGATGTTCGAGGCCAGGAAGCATCCAGCACAGGAGAAAGATGTAGGCTGGGAGGCTAAGCCAATCTGTCTTTTTCACATTTTTCTGCCTGTCTTATATTCTCTGGCAGCTGATTAGATGGTGCCCACCAGATTAAGGATGGGTCTGCCTTCCCCAGCCCACTGACTCAATGTTATTCTCTTTTGGCAACATCCTCACAGACACACCCAGGATCAATACTTTCAATTCAATCAAGTTGACACTCAGTATTAACCATCAAAATACGATAGGATTATTTTCTGTAATAACCTATGTAAAAATAAGCAGTCATTATTTTCCTGTTTTGTTCTTTAGGTGTAAAACAAACAAGAATTTTAAAAGAAGAAACTTCAATTTTAAAGATATTATTCAAACTAAGTTAAACATTTCATGTATAAATGAAAACTATACATTTTGTTTGCATGTATCAAACAAAAATATTCCATCTTGCAGTTAACATTTCCATTGTTGAAATTTTCAACACCAAAACTCCATGCTTAATGATGGAATTTAACTGCTTAAACGCTGCATCTTTGCCTTCACAATCACAGCGATACTGTTTCTTTCAAATGTCATGGGAGTTGGAGATATGTCTTGCTCCTGTGCTGGGCGCAAAGGTGAGGTGGTCAATTGTTGGTCTGGGACTTTCAGTGCTGAATTCAGAAAAGTCCTGGGTGAACTGGGACAAGTTGGCCCGCCAGCTGAAGGACTGAAAAGAAAGCTTTGGACACTTTCCCAATGAACACGTAGCCAAGTCTTTGTGAATCAGAGGCCAGCCGTGGAACCAGGAGTTCTCTGAATTAATTTAGGTGCAGAATATGTTTATGAAAGGACAACTAATAAAAACCTGAAGTTCACATATGTATTATTAAAACACCATCGTAACTTCAGCAATTGTTTAGAACAAAGGGATCTTTTTCAGGGAGGAGTATTTTATCAGTGCCACTGTTTAGAATTGATGGGCGTGATGATAATAACAAGCAGAGCAACTTTTAGTCAGTTTTATTATTGTTTTAACATGATCTACAGACAATACATGTCCTTATTGCCTGCACCTGGGGCAGAGAGCGCCCCTGGACCCACCCTTCCTAAACCACCACACCTGGCCTGGAACGCGCACCTGGTAAGGGTATATGTTAGCTCTCATTGCAGCTAACTGGGGAGTCTTGGCTAAGTCTTTTCACATCTCTGAGGCTGGATCTAACGGTTATTTTGTAGGGTTGTTGGATATAGGATTTTGTAGGGTCATGGTTGTAAGACTATCAGTTAAACTATAAAGAACCTAGTGCAAGCCTTGACGTTAGTAGGGGCTCAGTAACTGCACTGTCCCTCCCCTTCCCCGCTACCTGGCTTCCGCATCGACACGGTGCTGCTTCCCTCACCTGAAGACGTCATGCTTAGATCTTCGATGATTGAAATTTGTCTCATCTTGGCCGGGCGCGGTGGCTCACGCCTGTAATCCAGCACTTTGGGAGGCTGAGGTAGGTGGATCATGAGGTCAGGAGATCGAGACCATCGTGGCTAACACAGTGAAACCCCATTTCTACTAAAAAAAACCAAAAAAATTAGCCAGGCGTGGTGCCTGTAGTCCCAGCTACTCAGGAGGCTGAGGCAGGAGAATCGCTTGAACCTGGGAGGTGGAGGTTGCAGTGAGCCGAGATGGTGCCAGTGCACTCCAGCCTGGGTGGCAGAGCGAGACTCCGTCGCGAAAAAAAAAAAAAAAGGAAAAGAAATTTGTCTCATCTCAATTCATGAAGCCCCAGTAACCGCACTGCTTCTGGCTTTCCTGGGAGCTCGTTACCTTGGCCATATCTAGTCTTGTCTGGTCTCTGCTCCTTTGACGAGGTGGACTGTTAGCATTTAGGTGTGCGTGCTGTCTTGTCACCCCATGAGATTGCATGGTTCATGGATGACAATGTTTTCTCACCGTGCCCACACTGAAACCAAGCTCATGGAAATACACAGAGACCACACACACACAGTCTCCAGTAAGGTCCTGATTTCAGATACTTGGCATCCCATTCTATGCAGACTCTCGGTGCTGACTTAAAGTAGACATGGGGTCCTACGTGACATTTCAGTAGGGAGAAGATCCTGGTTTGCCTGGTATAGTCAGTCCTGATATAATGATCAGTTATGCTGTTCTGTACTTAACTTTTAATCAACAAGCACATTATTTTGTTAACTTAAAACATATTTAAAATGTTATTGGATGGGAGAAACATCATCTTTATCTTTAAAATAACATTATTAAGCACCTCTTACAATACTTTGGAGTGATTGTTGATGTTGTATTTGCTATAGTGAAATTTATCAAGAGAGTGAGGAAATATATGTTCAGATTTTCTTCATCATCGTTAGGTATATTTGCACATACTTTAATGTGGTTACTACTTTTGTCTTCCCCACAAGACTGCACTCAGGACTCGGAGTTTTGGGAGGTGGCTTCTGTGTCTCCTCTTTCTTCGCTGTGTGAGCTGCAGGCTGGGTCTTCAGTAAACGTCCATCGAAAGAAAGATGTCAAAAACTTAATGTCCATTTGAGGTGCAGAAGGAAGGAGTTTTTTTTTCCTTCTTACAGTCAAATATATGATATAAAATTCCTGTACGCTTTGTCTTTGTCTTTTTTTTGTTTTGTTTTGTTTTCTTGACAGAGCCTCACTCTCCTGCCCAGGATGGAGTGCAGTGGCGCCAACTCGGCTCACTGCAAACTCCACCTCCTGGGTTCAAGCAATTCTCCTGCCTCAGCCTCCCGAGTAGCTGGGACTATAGGCACGTGCTACCACGCCCAGCTAATTTTTGTATTTTTTAGTAGAGACGGGGTTTCAGCATGTTGTCCAGGCTGGTCTTGAACTCCTGACCTCAAGTGATCTGCCCGGTTTGGCCTCCCAAAGTGCTGGGATTCCAGGTGTGAGTCACTGTGCCCAGCCCCCTTTGTGTCTTTTGAAATTCAGTGGGTCCATTCATTCGTGTATTCATTGAACAAATATTCATTAAGGTCTTGATGTAGCAGACTCTTTCTTGATACTTGGACACCGTAAATTTAGGTTCACATCTTGAATTTCTGGCTGAGTTTGATCATTGTGAATGA